TACTGTAGTTTGTAATGTCTGTAATAATGTGTAAGCCACTTTGGTTTATGGAATAAATCATTTAAACATTAATGGGAGGTCACTGCTAGAATTTCTTTCAGTAACTTTAATGTTTGATTAATTATGGCCACTTGTTAAGAACCTGAAGTGAGCCATATTATAATTCAAAATATTTTTAAAATTTTATCGCATTTGCTACAACCCAAGCAAACTCGTTTAAACCTTGGAATTTACATTTACTACTGGAGAAAACGTGCTCAATTTTATGGGTTTGATGACATTTGCTAACCACATTAAAGTCAGAATTTGATTACATTTGCTACCTGAGCGAAAAATTGTACAATACTAACAGTTTGATCAGATTTGCTGCCCAAGCAACTTTGTTCAAAACTTGACTTTTGACCACATTTGCCGCTACAAGCAAAATTTTGTGTTTGATCAAATTTGCACACCCTAGAAAATTTGTTCAAAGTTTAGGTTTGCTAACATTTGCTTCGTGAGCAAACATGTTTAATACAAAGAGTTTGGTTACATTCGCCATGCAAAGCAATCTGGTTCAATTATGAAAATTTGATCACCCATGATAATCCAAGCAAACATTGTTCAAATTAGATACTTCGCTCACATTTGCAAAGCTGCGTAAACGTTCTGAAAATAACAGGTTTACATGCTTTTACATCTAAAGCAAAAGCTGTGCAAAACAGCAGATTTGCGCTATCATTTGCGTAATGTGCAAATATAGTTCAAAGAAACATATTTGCCTACACATTTGAACCATCTGCAAATGACCCTCAAATCCATGGCTGCCCATTATCTTTGCACCAAGATGTAAATGTTGTGCAAATGTGGCATTTACCGTCATTGCTACGGATAGCAAATCTAGTGCAATATCAGTCTTTGCTCTTGCGCAAAATTGTGCAAATGTGGTATTTGCTACACATTTGCTGTAATTTGGCTACCCTAGAAAATCCATTTTTTCGTCTAGTGCCTTGCACAATAGCGGCTGAACCTTTCGGTAGGTGACGGGTTTAACTCATACACATAGTAACCTTGACACTCTCTAACGCGTATCTGAACTGTCCAGTAACAACAGTTTAATAATCCGTCGAAACAATCTTCCCTCCTCACGATACTATCTTCAAAGGTGGAATGCTCGCCATTCAGCCACCCAGTCAGATCAGAGCTGCATTTGCGAACGGGGATACAATTGTCTACCATTCTTGAATATGAAATTGACTGGAAGCGGTACCAGCCGGGGACGAGTCTGTTGTCTGAGTTACTACCATAACCAAAGGACTGCTGTCGATTAGGTTCAGTAAGAACCGTATAGTCTCGGCACTGTGGTGCATCTGACTTAAAAAACGGCAAGTGATGAGAAAACTATGGGCCAAAATTGAATGTCTAATTGAGTTCTGCTATATTTTCTACTGCTAGCTACCGGGGGTGGGGGTACTACTCCCATACATTAGTGTATGTGCCGCCCAACGGGGTCGTGATTTTGAAGCTCCTGGTTTAGAACGAGGTATCAATTTCAGAGGCGTTTTCTAGAGCGGTGTATAATATTTCGAACGCACGAAATCTCCAGTTTTGTTAGCAGCCATTTGAAATTATTCAAGGACAGATTGCTTTTAAAAATACGGTTCAATGCATTAACAAGCAAACTGTTGTACTCTTGTGGCACCCTGTGTTTTAGCGTGCAGGGCGGGCGTATTTTGGCGCGAGCCACGAGCGCTGATTCCGCCATCTTGGATAAATAGGCGCGGGGAAGTCTGGAACGAGTCCATAATGTACCCAAGGGAGATGGAGACGGACTCAAAAGAAAGGGACGGGGGAGGAGAAGGAAAATCGTTAGCTTACGAGCGTGGTTCTGTGTGTGGTGAAAGATTTTGCGTCATAATTAACCACATTGTATCCACACGCACAGGAAATGTACTCCGGATGATTATGAAGAAGCATTTATTTGATGTATAAGTCAAATAGTAAAGAAATATCTTAAAGAAAAAAAAAACAGGGCTATTTCAATTTACAAACTTTCTAGAACGGAGTATAAAAAATTGGCCCATTTCTAGAACGGGGTATCAGTTTTAGGGCGAATTCTAGAAAGGGGTATAAAAAAAATTGGCCCATTTCTAGCACGAGCTATCAATTTTAGGGAAAATATTTTTTAGAACGGGGAGCCAATTTGGAGTCCCGGGAGGCACATATCCACCCAAAAAATACCCAAGTGCCCACCCCCCCCCGGGAAGCTAGCACACAATGAACAGCTGAACATGGAAATTGGCATGCAACGGGAAAAACAGTATGGCAGTACTCCAAACCTCTAATTGTAAACATTTCACAGGCCATAATCCTCTGATTCGTTCTGACGAGGGCTAGTGCTCGAAACTACCAGCTTCTCAATTCCCCACGCTGGCCAATCTTTTCTATAAACCTTTGAAAAAAACAATCTTTGTATTTCACTACCCCACTGACGCTACACCAACTTTTTCAATCAAAACTTTCTCTTACCCTGGCGAAAGACAAAAGTAAACAGTTTCATTCACTTATAAACTATGAAGTACTTTTAACAATGCCAAAAAAAACGGAAATATTTTGCAGATAATTTTTAAGGGGTTTGTCATATTGCATGGTAACAGCGTTCTTTCTTAACTACCGGTAACTCAACCTTTTTTTATAAGATAATTACTTAATATTTAAAACAGCCGCTTCGCTTTTAGTAAATATATTATTACTAATTACCTATTTACTTTAAACGTAAAAAAATGTATCGATCTAAATGCGCAAATTTTTCTCGATAGAGCAATGATTTTGAGATTATATTCTTTTTTCCTTTAAAGTATTTTAAATATTTTTACTTGATCACCTCCTTTCAATTAATGCTGCATGAGTAGGCTATCTTTAACTTGTAAATGAAAGTTCTTATTAGAGACTTGTGTTCTCTTCTTGCTTATTCAGGTGCCTCGGTTTTTTACTTGGCTGTTAATGATTGTTAGCTCCTGATTATGCAAGGTGCACAGCTGTGTCAGCATAACTGCACGATTCCAACCAAGAACCTGAAAACGCGAGAATATCTAGGAAGAGGCGCCAGTCTTTTATCAGATGTTCGCCTCAAAATGCCAATTTTTTATGCTCTAACCAAAAAGAAAAAGAGAAAACTAAATTAAAACCAATAAATAAACAAATACCAAAACAAAAATTGCAAAAAAAACCCAAATTGCACTCCGCTTCAATAGTAACTAAGTTTTTCAATAGCTGTGTTATTTATACCTTTTTTTAATCATCGTTTTGAGCAGTTTTTTATGTTTCACTCAATATGGCAGCGGTTCTTACTGTTTGAACTTTGATAACTGATCAATTACGAGACACACTTGCTCCCCACCTCCCTCCCCCATTATGCTACAAATATCACAAAAGCCTCAACCAAAAATTGTTGCTTTGCACTATTTTCTCCTGTTTGAGGCAGTTTAACTGGTTCCCAGCCTGGTTTCTTCACAACTAAAAATAAAAAGGCCTTAGGATCGTAATGATCGTCCATTTTGCTTCCGTCTAAGAAACATGGAACACCAAAGGGTCATTATTTTAACTTCATTTTGAAAAATGAACAACTTTCTATTAACTATGCAAACTGAAACAAGATGAAAGTCCCTCGATTCTAATCAAACACTTCTAAGGTTGCAGATTTACACACTGGCTATTTTCTGTTGCATCATTTTAACCTTACCAGCGGCATTCCATAATGATTGTATACCGTCAAATTCTGGTAGAAAAACAACTTAAAAAACAGAGATTTTTGGTTCCCGTCTATAAGTACCCGAATTACTTAGAAAAACTTGTTATTTTTTGGCTTATGGGCCTTAAAGATTTGAGATAGTGATTATTTTAGATGTTGTAACATGTAATGTTTGATCTCACGAGGGCTGCAGCTTGTTTATTTTAAGACAATATCTTATTATAAGTAACTTTTTTTTTCTTCACTGACTGAATGTTAAGCCTATAATTTTAGAATACCACTTACTATAATATCAGTCGGCAAAAGCTCTCGAAGAACACATTCAAACAACATCATTAACAAGATAGTAATTTAGAACATTAAGAAGGAGTGCGTGTTGAGATAGCCCTCCACAATAAACTGATTTAAGAGGATGACGAGTCGCATTATACAATGTTTGAATAAGACCTCTCTTCGACTTTGCTGATACCATCTGGGGAGACAGAGATAATATTACATTAATGCATGATTTACAGATCTTGCAAAATTAAAGGCTGCCAAAGTTATCCTTGATTTGCCCAACTATGCTTCATCTACCGACGCTCTCAAAACACTCGGATGGCCTACCTTTAGTTTCAAGAGCGCCTTGTACATAGATACATTACCACTTTTAAGTACATCCACGGACTTGTAGATCACAAATTTAACATTTTGAGAAACTCAGACATCCATGGTTATAACACTAGACTGAGAAGGAACGATTTCCCTCTTCCTCTCGCTAAAAGGAATTACGAAAAGCAGAGACCTTTTTTTATCAAAGCGCTAAGGAATGGAGCATTTTAGACGCATCTTTTAAAGAAATTAACTTTCTTCTTCTTTTTAGACAGAACATTAAAAGCTATATATTTTAGATATTTTATAGCTTTTAATATTTTAATCTATCTGACGTTTTAACATTTTTAACCTGTAGCTTGTATAATTTAGGTTTTTAGTTCTTAACTTTTTACTTATTATTACTGTTACGCATTCATCTAAGATCATTTATTTTTCTATTGCTCTACGGGGCCTCACTGAAAATCACTCTTTGTGAAGTGAGCTCCCTGTATAAGGATTGTTATTTATGTTCTCTAACATTTCTTAGCCTCTTTTCATACAGATGCAAAGAGTTTTTTTACTTATAAGCCTACTGGGACAATCGATTTTAGAGATTATTTAGTTACAGTTATCATAATGCATAAGAAGATAACAAGCCTATTACTTAAACAAAAAAGCCGGTTGTAACTCATTAGAATTATTTAACTTGCGTTGTTTCGTAAAACGTTTCTATTTCCCCTGGTGTGAACTGGTATGTTCCTGCCAGGAATGTTCGGGCGAAGGTACTGCTGTAGGTGTACCCGCTCGGTGGGCAGTAAGTATAGCCAAGGTTACTACATGAATTGCGATTGGATGACGCGAAGTCTGATACGTGCATGTCATGTCCTCCTCCGAATGCAGGCCCGTATGATGGAATATCTTCTATGGAATATTGCCTTCTGGAGCTATATTTCCCTGTCTGAGGCAGCCTAACGGGTCCCCATCCTGGCTTGTTTACAAGTGAGAATAAAAAGGCGTTTGAGTCGTACCAATACCTAGAGCCAGAACCTACAAGAAAATAGAGCTGGAATAAAAGTGACATTTGGGATATTTTTCTGATACTCACTTGCAAAAGGCACCCGTCATGTGCAGTGACACATGCCACAAGATAAAGGTTCGTTTATATTTTATACCTTCCTTCACACTGATATATGTATGTTTTGTAGAATGAACACCAGACTCATAAAAAAAACAAAAATTAAAAAAAACAAAAAAAATTAGGGCGCGATATAGCACTGTCTTTTTGCCAAACCAGTACTAAAGTTCCCAATACCTCATGGATACGTCATGGATGGTGTCGCGGGTTTAATTCCTATCTGGAACTCAAGAATTTTTTTAGTTCTTCTCTATCTTATCAACATATATCATTCCAGTTAACATTAAAAAAGCAAATAAAAACTTTGGAATACACGGCCGATTACCCCTTGAATTGAAATCCACTCATGATTAATCATGACCCTGCTTACATCTATACCCTCGACAGGAATAACTCCAAACACATCCAATTAAAACGAAAAATGTAAATCACTGTCGCCTAGTAATATACAATTAATGGAACAAAATTTACAGATGCTAAGTGCTTTATAAATTATTGATAAAATAACCATGAGAATGTGTCAGGAGCCTGCAGTGTTTTATTTTAAAAATTAAACTAAAATTGCGTGCAATAAAATCTTCCGCAAGCAGCCACTTTTTGAACGGGAGGTTAACAATCGGGGTCCTGAAACCTAAGAGACTGTTCGCTTACCGGAGCTAAGGTTTTCGTCTATGAGAGCTGTTTAAAAGCAAAAATTTGCATTTACAAAGCAATAGATTCGAGCAAGAGAGGATAAAGGGGACAGAGAGAGCATCCCCCATACACACCCTATTCCATAGGTAATTCGTCTCGAGTTATTTTTAGAATCGGGATAAAGTTACCTCGCGCGCTGCGTGGATGTTTCGTGGAGGTTTCGCATGACTAAACGCCGTGCAAAACATCTCGGGCGACAGGCAATGAAAGTGTAAAGAGATTGAGAGCATTCCTGAATATTGAAGCGAAATGAATCGGCGCTAACCTGGGAAAAGGGAATCGCTGGACTCTTTGACAACCCGTTAAATTAGTTTAACTCGAAGTTGTCGTAACCTCAGTGCTTTAATAAAATGAGAAATTTCGCCGGTCTATTGAAACCGGTCGTTGGTACAATAAAGCAAGTAGGATGCCAAGTGTTATTGTTGTTGTAAATAAAAGAATAAACATCAAACCCTAAATTGCTCTCTTCAAACTGTAAATTATAAATGATCTTGAGAGAATATTCAGTGTGTTAAGTATTTCTCTGCTGCACTGTTAGCTCTATACAAGAGAGGATGGGCGATTCTTTCTTAATTTCCGTTTCGCTGTCACAGCTTTAGCAGAAATCTGCTAGTCAATTCGTGAAGGACGCGTGGCTCTGAGCGTGGGTCATCCACGCGCAACACATTTCCGCTATGTGATTGGCTGTTGTCTAATCCCCCTTGGGATCTGTGGTCTTAAAAATAACTCGAGACGAATTACCTATGGAATACGGTGTGTATGGGGGATGCCTTCTCTGTCCCCTTTATCCTCTCTTGATTCGAGCAAAAAATATTTGAAGAATAATAAAGAAAACCTCGGGTGATTAGATATTTCCTGTTGTAACTTGTATAGAGCAAATCTGTTGAAATCATGATCAACAAAAAAATCTGTTGCTGTAGTTGTTTTTTTGCCATATTTGCTAATTCCTTGTGAGTCAAGGAGGGGGGTCCTTGGTTTTAGAGGGGCGAGGGAGTGCGCGTCCGAATCTAGATCCGCCAACCTGAATCCTTTATCGGCTACTGCTTAACCATGCAAGGTCAAACTTACTCCACATTGCTCAGTGCCAAGCTATCAAGCTGCACTTTTAGCCCAACATATCCATGCAAGTAACTGCAAAGGTACAGGTAACCGCCCCTTACAATGCGCACTTACGCCAGGATTTACTGGTGTATCCTCCAAAAATGTATCTCCCGACCCTTATTATTGTCACAGTCGGGCCCTTGCCGTCACATTGGGAGTGAAATGTACTTCCAGCCCAGCCGTCCACGGATGCACGCCAACAGCGTTTCCAGAGAGAATTAACGCTTTTTGCCACAGGTGCCAGCCAGTTGCTTAACGAGGTTAAATAATTTTTGTTGCTTCCCACAATAAAGGAGTCGTGCAAACCTGGGAGGAAACAAAATCTACTTCTTTTATTTGGCAAAAAAACACGGTTATGGCCAAGGATATGTAGAACTGTTTAAAAATTCTTCATTAATTCATTTCCTTGTCAAGTGTAACGGGATCCAAGTGACAAGAGACTGTATATCAAGCGCCACTTTATTTTCTGGCGAGGAACGTTTTAGTCTGGTTTTAGTATTTCAAATTCAAACTCTAGTGAAGGCTCCCCCTTTCCCGTTAAGAACCTGCTACACACAGGACAACCTCTAACAATGACCCTCATTTAATAGCAATATGAAAGACCATCACTGTCAATACTACACAAATTCAAGTTAAGAAGTTTGAGTGATGTTGTGATAGTGCCGTAACAAATTTGTCTTGAACTGGATATAATGGCTGTTCAATCTCTACAATCTGTAAACCATGGTCTCCATTAAGGATTATGTTACATGTAACTAAATGTTCAATTTATGTCTGTGCAGACCTTGCATGGGCGGATCTAGGGGTTGGGTGCAGGGGTGCGCACTGCACCCCCCTAAAATGACCTGCGGCTTTCTAATACAACTGGTATACTGCAAATAAAACTATGTGGTTTATTGGTGTTGAAGTAAAACATGAAGCGAGGTTGAAGCATTTATGTTAAACGCCGTAAAAGGGGTAGTTTGGCACTGAAAAAGCCTAATGTAATAGGCTCCTGGTTTACGTCACCAGTCAGTTAAGCAATTCCAGAGGTGCAACCCCACCTTAGAAAAATCCTAGATCCGCCCCTGCCTTGCCGCATAAGACAAACCTGCAGCTGAGCTACGTTGTACTGCCACATTGATCCTGGCCTTCTTCGTTCCAATGCTGTTTGTTGCCATACATTCGTACAAACCGTTGTCAGCCGGGTTTTGGTTCTTAATGGTTAATGTACCCCTGTTTACCTCAGTCCTGCCGGCAGGAAAAGGTAGCACCGCTCGAATCCAGGTTACTACAGGACGAGGATAGCCGTCTGCTTGACAGGTTACTTGAAACGTAGTGCCTTGTGCTGGTGTGGCAAGTGCAGGTGGAACTTTTGTGAAGATTGGAAGACCTGAAAAGAAAAATTATCTGGTTTATACTATAAAGCCCTAATGGTCCAAACGATTGCAACTGACAAAGATGACGACCCATGGATCTTTTCTTTTTCGAGAAACTTTGTACAATATTTTTATCTGTATAGCAGAAAGGAAAAGGAAAGGAGAAACCAATTCAAATGATTGGTTAGTAACTCTTTCAGTGTCTTTTTTTGGAATTTGAAGATACGGCTACTCAGATGCAAAAAACCGTATTAAAAGCGTGTGAAAAGGTCACAAATCGTCCCAGGCATTTTACAAGGTGTTTCATCAGTGAGGCATCAGGCTAGCTCAATTAACTCACTCTAAGGTAATATGTCAGGGGGAGTGTCCCCGATTAGTTCACCACTTGTGTTGCACTAAAAGCTATGACACATTAATAATAAAAGTTATTGTTTGATTGATTCATTGAAGATGGTGCTCTATGCCTTAACGTCTTACAGGTTTTCTTGGATGTTTAAAAAAGTGATGTTCAAATCTTGCAACCTTATTACCTTGGGAGGACATGAAACATATACTGACATATCAAACAAAATTAAACGGCCTTATTTAAGAGACCTCAAAAGTAAAATACTCCTCTCACCTCGAACAGATAAGTTACTTGTGGCCTCAGACGATCCAAGAATGTTTCTGGCTGCACATGTGTACGGCCCAGCATCGCTGTAATTCAGATTTCTAACGATCAACTCTCCTTCTTTAATCAAATGCTTTGCACCTGACAGAAGTTTTATGCCCATAAATTGCCATTCCACGACTGGGGAAGGATTTCCTACCACCGTGCAATAAAACGCCGTATTTCCACCTTCATCTCGAGTCTGTTTATTCGGCGACAACATCACTTGTGGGGCAGATATCGATTTTCCAGGCCTTCCAGGTGGCCCGGGAATGCCTTTTGGCCCAGAGTCTCCTTTGTCTCCCTTTTCTCCTCTCGGTCCTGCAGGACCCGTTATTCCTGTTTTTCCAGATTTTCCAGGAGGCCCCATGGGACCTTGAGGACCTCTTTGATCCCCTCCTGCCACGTGGTCCCCTCGCTCCAATGGGACCAGGATATCCGGGGGGACCTGCTGGACATACCTTCTCACTTGACTTACAGTACTTAGTGGGCATAAGTTGTTCAAACTGTTTGCTAATTTCTTTTCTCACTTCTTGTATGGTGATGCCAGTTGAAGTGTCGTTCAAACTGTTTCTTCGATTTCTTACCCGGATGGTTGCTGATGTCTTTATTGGCAACGGGCTGACTGCAGTAAAGTAAAATTAGATAATACCTGTTAATTACCCATTGATAAATTGTAAAAATGAGCAATATCGAGAAGGAACGAAAGAATGATACGGCTGACATTTCTGATAAAGGTAACTTACAAAAGAACAAGAATCGAATCTGAAGACCTGCGCACGAATTTCAAGCCAACTGAGATCTTGAACACACATACTTTCAATCGCTCTTGTAATCCTATAAGGGTTAAGAAAGGTTTTTCAAATTAGACTGAACTCGTTTAAAAGAAACGGAAATATCTCCATGAATAATCTCTTAATACACGCCTTTTGTCTATACTGATCTATAATGTCTAATATTATTCGAAAATTTATCCAGAAAGTGCGAAACAGAAATAGCTCAATCTAAAGCAAACAGATACTGATCTAAAAAAGAATTGCCAAGAATTGGGTCATTATTGCTTAAAATTGGTCACGCAATACTTTTCAATCCCGAGACCCCAAATAACCTCAAACCAGAAGCACATGCAGCCCCCACTTAAAGAAATGTTTAAGGAACCTCATCTAAAAATGTCGACTAGCTAAAAATCCTTAAAAGACAATCTTGTTGAAAAGCTGTATAGTAATGATATCGACTGTCTGGCGCGTGAAGGAATCTTGTGTTCTGCCCTTGTAAACACATTATTTATAAATTCAACTTCATTTGCGCTGTAGATCTCTTCAGTTTTTTATCAGTGGCAGTGGCTTAATTACTGACAGATCTAGGGAGCTTTACAAAACAGTTTCATACAGCAGTCTAAGTTAAAATCTGAGACTATTTTGGAATTGGAAAACATCCCGTGTTGTTAACGCGAACTCACGTCATGAAAGGTTATGTCTTAACCGAGGCAGGATAAAAGCAGGTCTAAACATCCTCAATGTACACAAGGCCATCCAAAAAGTAAGAAGAGTAAGAATAAATTTTACCTGAGATATAGCCGTTCCCATCATCTGAAACTTGTGTCTGCATCTTCTTGGAAAGGTTCATTGCGATATCTTTTGTCGGTGAGAAAGTCATCTTGTCAAGATTATCAATCGTGCCACGCTTAGTGCAAGGAACACAGTAAGTACGAGATTCCAGTGAAATCAGCCGTTCGTTTATTGCTTCATTTTTCACCCAGAGACATCCGCAAACTAAAACTAATACCACCGAAAGGAACGATGGTCTAATTGACGGAACAAACTCAAGGATTCGTTGAGATTTTGAAGAGTTTACGGTTTTCATTTTTGTACTTTTACGATCGTTTTCTTTCACAGCCACTCGAAGACGGAAGTTTGCGGGAAAGTTGCAAGTTTTTATATATAAACCTGATCCGCTTCTGATTTAGCCCAGAAAAACAAGAGTGTTGGCTTACATTAGATTGACGTAAGCTGTAACTTTTTTCTTGTTGCACTCAAACGTGGTCAAAGTTCTAACAGTTTCCTTATTCTAAAATAATTGCAGAAATCAAACATCACGTTTACATGAAAGGTAAGAGGTTGACCACGTGACCATTGACTTTATTCTTCATTCTTGATAACGTGGAGAGAATAAAGTTTCTCTTTTTGTAGCAAACATTCGAGCATGAGTAATGTATTTAATTCAATTCTTGTTTTCTGTCACAGTCACTCCAAGCTTGAGGGAAAGTTGCAAGTTAAACCTGATCCCTTCTACTCAAGCCCATAAAAACAAGTGTAGCAAATTAGCTTACATTAGATTGACGTGAGCCGGGCTGCTCTGCTGGTTGTTAACCTTGCTCCTGTTGCAATCAAACGTGGTCATAGTTCCAACAGATACCATATTTTAAATTATTGCTGAGATCAAACATCACGTTTACAGAAAAGGAAACAACGTTGACCACGTGACCATTAACCCTCGTTATTGATAACGTTGAGAGAATGGAGCTCTCTTTTCATGACAAAAATGAGTAATTTTATTGAATTCTAATTTTTGTCTGTACATTAACAATTAATACTAGCCCGTAAACGTGATCTTTTATCTATTTATTATCAGTAGAAATTTCCTGTAAGGGTATATTTTATTTATGATATCATAGGTGACGAATCATAATTTGTAATTTCACATGTGAAATTACTAAATTGCCATGGCAACCTGCCATACGTCTCAGTGTCAAGATGGCGACGAAGTTTTAAAATGTCTTGAATAAAGATGTCAGGGCATAAAAAGACGCTTTAGAAAACCTGAACACACGAAAGAGCACATCAAGAAGGATTCTTAGAGGTATGTTGTCGAACAATTCTGAAAACTTAAGCGAAATTTCAGCTCTAAACGTTACAGAGAGAGTAGAGTTCACGATCGATCGATACGATCCAGCATAAATAAGTCAAAAATCCTCGATTGCTAACGTAATTCGTCATGATATTAATAGGTAATCAAATGGTATACTCTTGAAATTAGGGAATAATTTCACTTGCGTTTTGTCCAAATCCTATAATAATTTAAATTATAAGGATTTGGACAAAACCCGCGTGAAATTATTCCCTAATTTCACTCGTCACCATTTGATTACACATACTAGTATTTTATATGATAGGTCAGTCATAAAGGATACTGATGTGCCTCTGATTTTATACGTAGGGCTTACATGACGTAGTAACCCAACGCTGGTAATTTTAATTACTACAGTGCTAGAAGGTGATCGTCACGTGACTGAAAGCAGTCTATTCCTGTACATGAGATAGTGTTGCCGCATTAAGCAATTAGTAATCTTAATCTTTGATTACTAATATTGGTGGTATCGCATTTGGCAACAAAGCAGTGATGACAGCCTGGTTCAGTAAAATATCACTGTACTGCTTTTTTTTCAACTTTGTTTACTCGATCGGAAGCTGTGATTTCTTTGCCCTCATGATAAGGAAGTAACTGTTTTCTGACAGATGACAGTATAGCTGCCCCCAGACTCGTATCCAGGTGAAAAAGATCAGCGCAGTTGGACCAGTTGTAGATATCAAAATCATTTCTTTTTTGGACTATTCTATTTTTCGTTTGTTTGGAAAATGTTGTAGTTTACGTTGCAATGATTCTGCTCTGATTTAGATATAAGGGGCTTGCTTAGTGCTGTAGATTCGTTCACCTTTAAGTGTCTACTTGTACAATAAGCTCAGCTCAAATATCAAAGCCGGTGTCACGCATTATATTAATTAGGTTGTTTCGTAAAAGGTTTCAACTTCGTCTGGTGTGAACTTGTAAGTTCCTGCCAGGAATGTTCGTGCGAAGGTGCTGCGGTAGCTGTACCCGCTCGGTGGGCTGTACGTATGGCCAAGGTTGCTGAAAGAATTGCTATTAGATGACGCGTAGTTGTCTATGTGAATGTCATACCCGTTTCCGAATGTAGGCCCGTAGGTTGAGCGAAAGTATATGGACCATTTGTTAGAACTATGTTGCCCTGACTGAGACAATTTGACAGACGTCCATCCTGGCTTGTTTACCAGCGAAAATAAGAAGGCTTTTGAGTCGTATTGATACCGGCCAGAACCAGAAGCTAAAAGAAATGAAACAAAACTTTTCTAAGATAAGTTAGCGACATTGTCCTTGTGCCTGTCATAATGATGACGATGATTATTATTATTGTTAATTAAAAACAGTAAATACCTTATTCTCATAAAACAAATTCGATAGAGTTTCTCAGTAACGTTCGTCATTTATCAAAAACGAAATCAGTTTCTATGTCTTCTTTATTATTATCATTATCATTATCATTATCAATATTATTATTATCATTATTATTATTATTATTATTATATTATTATTATTATTATTAATATTATTATCATCATCATTATCATTAGTATGAATATTATTTTATTGCATTATTATTTACGTCCAGGTATTTTGGTAAAAGATACAGCTGTACTAAAGGCAAGCGTGGTTCGTCCGCTCAGGAGAAAGTTTTATGTGGCTGCAAGCTCACCGAGGCTAAGGTGCCGGCCTGTGGGAGATGTTATTTTTAAAAGATTTGCAATTACAAGCAATAGATCTGGGAAAAATTAGTAATTAATAATTTATGTTCTTTTATAACTTTATGGAGCAAATCTCCAAATTTATCTGTTTTTGTCTTTTTTACCACTTACCGAAGCTAGAAGCTTCTTTTTTACAAGAACTGGTGCATGTCGCAATACACTTTTATTGGTAAATTAATGCTTCGTTTGATTTTAAGGGTACTGTATTAAGAAGACAATAAAAGGAAACAGACAATAAAGAGTTTTAGGAGCCTTTATCCTTGAAAAGGTATAAAACATTATGTATTTCTGTCACCCATTTCAGTCTATTAAGTACGTTCGAATCCGAAGAGAAGAATCCTCTTCGCAACATTTCACTTAGGCAAAATTACAAAAGTTTGATCGTTGAAATGAACCTTCGTCTTGGTGTATCACGTACGTGGACATGTCAAGAGAGCGTGTTTTTTCTTTGCCAAAATTTGCGAATTTCACCAAAAACTTGCGATGTAGTACGTTAGTCGCTTCTTTTGCAATATGGTAATTGAAGGATGGAAGATAGCAGGGAGGCAAGAAAGTCAGAACAATATCGATACTTTATAACCTAAAAATTATTATTGTAATAGTGTTAGCCTGGAATTTGGACCCGTCTTGACAGGCTAGAAATGCATCACTTATCATCTGCAGAATCAGAACTTGAGAAGAGGGGGGGGGGGGTGTGGCACTCATTCACTCCATGTGAGAGTAGGAGGGGCGGTCCTCGCCCCTTGAGGAACAAGGGGAAATGGGCCCGCATCTAGAGCTATTAACCTAGAACCTTTGTCCGCCACTACTTAACCATGTATGAAAGGTAGAGTCACATGATTCCATATTGCTAAGTACCAAGCTGCTCTTTTAGCTGAACATATCAGTGCTAACTGATTACGTCAAAGGTATAGATGCCACTGCCATGGCTTACAATGCTCACTTACCCCATGAAATACTTGCGTATCCTCCGAAAATATATCTCCCGACCCTTATTATTGTCACAGTCGGGCCCTTGCTGTCACATCGTGAGTGAAATGTACTCGCAGCCCAGCCGTCCACGGATGCACGCCAACAGCGTTTCCAGAGAGAATTGACGCTTTTTGTGACAGGTGCAAGCCAGTTGCTTAACGAGGTTAAGTGATTTTTGTTGTTTCCCACAATAACAGAGTCGTGCAAACCTGGGGAAAAAAATTCGACTTTTCCTAAGTGACAAAAGAACTCTCCAGGGGCACCCAACGAAAATATAGTTCAAAACCACTTATTATGAACATAGTATTGTTAAACGTATTTTAGTATCGAAACGGTAGATATAGGCATATTTTTATCCCCTAAAAGTTTTTCATCTGTTCGGATTTCCTAGCTGAAAGTCAAGTGACTCGAAAATTATAGGGATCAAAACTTACTTTTCAAAAATCCCAGCCAGAAAAACGGCTCCCGAAAATTCTAGGTGACCTTTTTAGGGTAAAAATCCGTTAAAAATTGGCAATTATACCATTTTTTAGATGTTCGAAAATCCTAGCAGAAGCAGGCAAGCAAGAAATTTTACAACAAATGTTCCGAAAATTCTAGATCTCAAATCGTCTTCCGTTAGACTCGAGTATAGGCTTCCCTCCTTTCCCTTTAAACAATTGCTACACGAGCATATTCAGCCTTTAACAACGACACTGCTTTTTAACAATGAATAAAAGGCCATCACCAACGGCGGTCCTATATGTTTTACATTCCACTTAAGTATACACTGTAGTCTGAGTCAGCTAAGCCTATTAAAGTAGTCTTAAACAGGATTCAGGAACCCTTGGTCTTGCGATCTCTGTGACCTTTAACAAAGGTCACCAGGCGCCAGTTGGGGCAAAACGTGGATAGCGCTATCCAGCGGATAAATCTCTCTCCAGTGGATAGTGCAACTGGTTTCCCTAATACTTATCCACTGGATAGTGATTTCTCCGATGGATAGCGCTATCCAGCTTTTGAACAACTGGGGCCTGATGTTTATGTTACTAAATGTTTAATTTATGTCTGTGCGGACCTTACAGCCTAAGACAAACCTGCAGCTGAGCTACGCTGCACTGCCACGTTGACTCTAGCTTTCTTTGTTCCAATGATGTTAGTAGCTACACAGTCGTACAAACCGTTGTCGGCAGGAATCAAGTTGTTAATGGTAAGTGTGCCTTGGTTTATTTTCGTTTTTCCAGCAGGTAAAGGCATTGCTGCTCTAGTCCAGGTTACAACGGGACGAGGATAGCCTTCAGCTTTACAGGTTACTTGGAATGTAGTGCCTTGTACCGGTGCAGCAAGTAAAGGTGGAACTTTTGTGAATATTGGAAGACCTGAAAAAATAATTAATATCAGGTTGAAATACTACTGGACGACACCGGGGAGGAGAAGGAGGGGGGGTACTCTTCAAAGTGTTATACTGGGAGGCTCCGCCCAGAGGTCCAACACTATATGTAATTTTCAACAGAAAAGTTTGCCCTTTTCAAATACGAGATTGGGAGATCAACGCACTGTCTTTAAAATGTGAATAAATCACAAAAGCAGAAAATTTTCTCGACTTTTTCACAGCCATAACATCTTTGCGCTAGTCCTTTTAGATCTTTTTTCAGACCGAAATGACAGATTTCCCAACACTATTATACTTCAACTAGTAAAACACGGACCCTTTCATATACCTGAAGCCTCAAAATGGTACCCCTTTAGCAAGGAGTCGGCTCCCTGCACAGGACATTCTAAGAAATAACCTTCGGGGAATGGCAGGATTACAACTGAGAAAAATGAAAAAATTAGATGCTTTCTTTTCCGGGAAACTTTGTACAAGAAATGTTTGTTTGCATAACAGAAAAGAAATGGAGCGATGAAACCAATTAGTTATTGGCTGGCAAATCTGTTAACGGGTATTTTCAAGAAGTCGTAGTCTGACGGCTGCTAAAGCCTTAACCGAATTCTGAAAGCGTGTCAAAATAAAGGTCAGGTGAGGATGATGTTCTGTCAGTGTGCCTTCTCATCGTATAGTTTTCTTGACATGTTTATGCGCCGTTCAACAACAAACCTCAAGAATGAAATGCTTCTCTCACCTCGAACAGACAAGTTACCAGTGGCCTCGGACGATCCAAGAATGTTCCTAGCAGCACATGTGTACGGCCCAGCATCGCTGTAATTCAGATTTCTAACGATCAACTCTCCTTCTTTAATCAAATACTTTGCACCGGACAGAAGCTTGATGCCCTTAAATTGCCATTCCAAGACTGGGGAAGGATTTCCGGCGACCGTGCAATAAAATGCCGTATTTCCTCCCTCATCTCGTGTCTGCTCTGCTGGCGTCAGCAACACTTGTGGTGGAGATATCGATTTTCCAGGCCTTCCACGTGGTCCCGGCATGCCTTTTGGCCCAGGTTCTCCTTTATCTCCCTTTTCTCCTCTCGGTCCTGCAGGACCAGTTATTCCTGTTTTTCCGGATTTTCCAGGAGGTCCCATGGGACCTTGAGGACCTTTCTTTCCTTTTGGTCCCCTCCTGCCACGTGGTCCCCTCGGTCCAGTGGGACCAGGATATCCGGGGGGACCTGCGGGACAGACTTTCTCAGTTGACTTACAGTACTTGGTGGGCATAAGTTGTTCAAACTGTCTGCTGATTTCTTTTCTTACTTCATGTATGGTGATGCCGGTTGAAGTGTCGTTCAAAACGTTTCTTCGCTTCCTTAAGCGGATGGTTGCTGATGCCTCTAATGATAACGGGCTGACTGCAGTAAAGTAATATCCGATGATTATATTAAAAATAAATAACGATGACGAACAAATCAAAGGAAGGAATGATAAGGTTGATATTTCTATCATAAAATTAACACCTTTTTGGAAGTTGCGTTCAACAACAAGGTTAACAACTTTTCAATTTGTCCTCACGCCTCTTCCCTTGTTGCTTCTAAGGGAAAGCCAAGCTGACATTCTAGATTTCTAGATCTACGCACACATTTCAATCCCGGGGGGAAGAGTACTTGGGTAATTCTTTGCTGGGTATGTGACGCTGGCGTCTAAGAGCCCCTACCCCATTATAGTCTATTCTGTGACCAATTATAGACCCTATCTTGGTCACTTTTGGGCAAATATGTAATTTTGGTGATCCCAGCTTAGTCACTTTTTATTTTTAATGAATTGACCCATTTTTAAACTGTATGAAGAACACTTTACTTTTCACCTACAGTACAAACATTCTGGTACGTTTGCTAACAGTAAATAAGAAGAACTGTCTTACCACAAAAAATCGGAAAATGTGCGACCCCATTCTAGTAACTCTATTGAAAATGCGACCCCATTGTAGTCAATAAGTGCCCCCCGGGTTTCAAACCGACTGAGACCGTTCAATAAACGTACTTTCAATCATGCCACCCTATCAGAGTTACCAAAGGTTTTATCAAGTAACCCGGCAAGCCCTAAGACTCCTTAACTGAACTCCTCTAGGGGCTAACCTTTCAAAAATATCTCAAATTTTACGCCACCCTAACAATTTTATTCAGACAGTGCTATTTCAGACCAATTTTTCCCACCCGTTTTCAGACCATGCAGACCTCAGTGTATACCTGTTTTCAGACCGGGCCTTTAGAAAGAAACTGTGTCATCATTACTTAGATTAGAGCGCAAACAAAAAAATTCTTCAAATGCATTTTGAATTCACATATTTCTATTTCGTTCTTATTCATGTGGAACTGAAACGATAACTACATTCATGCATACGCTCCAGTAGGTTCCTCGAAAACCAAACCTAATTCCAGACCAAAATGGTCTACGTTTATAACCGTTTTCAGACCGAAAAGAGCCAAGAACTATACACCCTTTGTGTGCTCCTGTTATATGGCTTATATAAAGGAGTACCCCCCCCCCCGGGTATTGACCACATATCTTGTACGTGAGCAAGTCGATCGACACTACTCAACATCGATCATTTACACCGTTTATACCACTACATGAGAAATTTCTGCAATTTGATTGGCCTAGAGCAGTGGTATTTCAGCTTAATTTGAAATACCCTACATGTGAAAATTACAAACCTTTTGCGGGCAGTGGTATAAACAAATAATAGCACGATTTGTACGTGATATTTGGCATAAATACCACTCGTGATATTTCAAAATTGTTTTACCAGTATAGGTGGCTTAGTGAATTTTTAACCTCATCTAACACTGTATAAACCCTTTTGCAACACTCTCGCTCTGTTGTAATACTGCTTAGATGATCCCGTATGTAAGCGCAAACTCACACCATGAAAGATTATATGCCTAAATCAAAAGAGGATAAACTCACTTCTAAACAAGTATCTGCATCTAAATAACATCTGAAGTGAAGATCTTACCTGATGTATAACCGATCCTTTCGGATACATGTGTCTGAACCTTGTTATAAAGATCTCTTGCTGTACCTTTTGTTGGTGAAAGAGATATCCTGTCAGTATTTTCAGTCAAGTCACTCTGAACGCAAGGGAAAAGGTTAACGCGAGATTCCAGCGCGATCAGTCGTTCGTTTGTTGTTTCATTCTTCACCCAGAGACATCCGCAAACGAAAACTAATACAACAGAAAGAAACGATGGCCTTATTGACGGAACAAAATCAAGGAGACGACGAGATTCTGCCGGGGAGTTCGAGGATTTCATTTCTGCAGCTTCCCAATCGTCCCATGCACGGAAGGTGGAGGTGAGTGGGAAACGTGCCAGTAAATTTGATCCTGAAAAATTTCGCCCGAAGAAGCATGCCATTAAGGTTGGTGTAAAAAAAACACACACACACAAAACAAAACAAGTCTTAATAGGGACGGCAAGGGGCCACGTGCGGACCATGAAAACCTTAATGGGGGAGGTGGGAGGGAAAACTAAATGAATAAAATTAGTGCACTCCAAGTAACGCCAAAAAATATTCATGCTTTGGCCTAAGATAATTAATACAAAGAAAATGCCAACGAAAAAAATTCATGCGACTTTCCTGTTGGTCTGTCTCTAATTAACTTTCTTCCTCACGCCTCGTAACAATATCATTTTCATTAGAGTGATTTCTCTTGCATATTGTGTGAACTGGACCATGGGAGATTATGTTCGCTGGCAAACATACTTTAATTTATTGAATAGTGGAAACATTCCCTTGCAAACTGGGATTACCTAATTATTTAGCGGCAATATATGCACTTCATACGTTACAATCTTGGACAAAAAGTGTTGAGATTTTGCACTTTCTTAGCCTGCGAGCAAGCTCTCCTCATGGGCGAGTTAAACGAGTCTCGCGAGAGCGCGCGAGCGAACGGCGAAGCTGCGAGGGGCAGAGGAAAGGAGAGCTTGCAACCATCCCTTACAAATTTTCATCTGTACTTCGCCCAGACGAAGGGAAATACCATTGGCTGAAAAATGACGTTCCGGAAATCAAAGTTGACTGATAACAGGCCAAGCTGGCACCCGCTTCGTCGGTGTGTCAAATTTGCTTCTCAGGGGGATCAAATTGGTACCGAGAACTTGTTTCAGCCCTCAATGCAGACGGGCTCGTTCGATGCAATTCTCGCGAAGAGAATATTGTGTGCCGGTGATAAGTCGGACTGAGTTTGTAGTTCTTGTGGAAGGAAAGTGAAAACCCTTCATCAGTTGCATTCATTTGTGTCAAGCGCCTTGTTTAGTTCTGAAAACCGGGAGAGTGAAGTGAAGAGTGATTAAAGCGCAGTCTTCCAACATCGGTTTCAAAGCCCGATTGAATTCAACTGGGTAGAAAAATTCAGAAGCGTGTACTTGACAGTGTAGCTGTGTAGCTTGATCGTAAAGAAAGAAAAGAGAAAGAGTTGGAAGCAACTAGAGTAAACCTCAAGGGAACCAAGTGTAGGAAAACGCTATTCTCCAGTTCCAGACGGACAAATATATGATGTTTTTGTTGGTGATTGCGATGGGGAGTAGTCTTCTACACTGCAGTACCGGACGACTTTTCAAAAGTAAACGAAACGAGAATCAAAGTAGTGAGCTCTTATCCGAGCTGACACGTGGACGTTCGATTAAAAACATTGCTTTGATGCTGTTGCGAAAGCGATTTATTAATAAATAATTCTACTCGCCCTCGGCTGTCTAAACTTACTTGACAGGCGGTTGTCACTTTTCTAATCTGCGGTACGTTTGCGGTGACAGTTTTCACGCTTTGCAGAGTCCCGGGATTTCCCGGGTGGAAATGAAAATTTATTAGAGATGGTTGCAAGCTCTCCTTTCCTCGGCCCCTCGCTCGCGCGTTCTCGCGAGAGTCGCTTCGCTTACCCAACTAGGAGAGCTTGCTCGCAGGCTAGCACTTTCTTACCCACAGAACGCCTATCCCGCGGATTTGGTACCACTATGGCCCCTCCCCTCGCCCCACACTGGTCAAATTTGTTTATTCGGGATCAGAAATGATCCAGCCGGGCTTCAACATATTTTTTTTTTTGGGGGGAGGTGGGGAGGGAAGATTGAGTATCTGTAGTTGCCAGCGCTTTCAAGCTTTCTCTTGAAATTAGACGCAGTATCGTCCATTTTCTCAACATTTTTTTCAAGATTGTAGATGTGTTAATACTGAGCCAGTTATACAACTATTTTGATTAAGATTCTAGTTGAACGTCACTATGTTTATCTTGTATAGTTAAGGTTAATGGCGACAGACTTAGCCACCCCTCTCTAAGTGGCACACAACGCATATACGGGTTAAGTAACTCGTTGTCCATTTTTGTTATATTTACAATGACAGCTGCTTGACACGGTCTTTTACTAGCTCATGTTGTTTGTTGGCAGTGTCTTAGACATAAGTCAATCTTTTTTGTATTGGGGGGGGGGTAACTCAGAATAGGAGGTTCCATTCACAGATCACCCATGTTTATATGGGTGATCTGTGAATGGAACCTCCTATTCTGGAGACTAGACCTTGCCTATTTTAGAGAGAAAAAAAGATTTAAGTTTTGATGACCTTACCGGTCCCGTGAAATAGATGGCGATGCCGAAATCGCCCCGCAAAAAAAATTAACAAAATTATATAATCACGGACACAAAATATCAAAACGGTTTACACAAGCAGATTATAGCAACGCCAAAACTCACACTCATTCGATCAAATTAGCCATATATAGCGATATTTGCTAGCTTCTTAGCTTTTCCTCGACCTCTCTCATCCAAATAACTGTTGGCGTGTCCCTTGCTAATTTGCACAAGCGACCCGAGGCTCTTGCCTGTTACTATTTGACGTCATACTGGCAGGCGGAGTGGGTCAAGAAACTTAGGTGGAAAACAATAGAGTTACCTGCCCCCCCCCCGCCTCCATACCTTACCCCTTTGTTCATCTTTAACTTTAGTTAATAGTCAATAAGCGCCACATAGCATATTAAATTCCTTGGAGAGGGAGGGAAGGGGGGTTATAAAACAGCAGGAGACAAAACGAAGATCTCAGAAAGAGTTATTCCTTTACTGAGCCACGCAAAGCATTATATGTATTAAACCTTCCCTTGCTAGGAAACTAAGGTAGCGTAGTTTTTTTAATCAAAACTTTCTCTCATCGCGGCGAAAGACAAAAGTAAACAGTTTCATTCACTTATAAAATTATGAAGTACTTTTAACAAGACAAAAAAAACGGCAATATTTTGTAGATAATTTTTAAGGGGTTTGTTATATTGCATCGTAACAGTGCCCCTTCTTAACTACCGGTAACTCAACTTACAGATTTGACAATCATCGTCAAAATATCCCGGAAGACAGGTGCACTTAAACTTTCCAGCTCGAAATGAAATAGGAGAACACTGCTGCCCATGATTCAAGAACAAGGGGCAAAAATACAAGGATTCTGTGGGAAAAAATATGTTACGATAA